TAAGTTGCTTCTCCGTGGCAAGATGAGAAAACTGGCCCAGAAGAAGAAATAAACTATATGTCAGGTTGTTTATATTTATTATATTGTGGTTACCATTGGTATTTAAGTAAATATAAGATAAAAAGCAATTAACATTAGAAGTCAGAATGAGATTTATATATTTCAAGTATATTGAGAAAATAAAGGTAAAAAATGTGGTCCCTGTAATATAAATAAAAGAAGTGGCTGAAGGGGCCAATTTCCAGACTCTTGGTAGAACTTTAAACTGCGATGTGTTTACTAACATATATTAATTTTTTTTTTAGATAAAAGAGTGTGTGGAGAGGACAGAGGGAGGGGAAGAGAGAGAATGCCACGCAGGATCCTCACAATCGACACGGAGACCAATGTGAGGCTCAATCCGACCAACTGTGAGATCATGACCTGAGCTGAAACCAAGTCGGAGGCCTAACTAATTGAGCCACTGAGGCTCCCCAACATACTTTAAAATTTTTAGGAGGCTTTCCACTTTTCTATTAAAAATTTATAGTTTTAGGAATTTATTTTAAGCATACTATTGAAGCATGATTTCTTAAAGGTATAATTTTTCTACTTTTATCTGTAATAGTGATCATTTAAAAAACAAAGACCTGGGGCATCTGGGTGGCTCAGTTTAGCGTCCAGCTTTGGCTCAGGTAATGATCTCACAGTTCATGAGTTCCAGTCCCACATTGTCAGTTCTCAGCACAGAGCCCACTTCAGATGCTCTGTCCCCCTCTCTTCTTGCCCCTCCCCACTTTGTGTTCTCTCTCACTCTGAAAAATAAACATTAAAAAATAAAGAAATAAAAATAAAAAACAAAGACCTAATATATTATAAAATACTAATACAATGAGCTAATATAACACTTTTACAAATTAAGTAGTAAAGGATCTCTCAAATTTCTAATGCAATATATTAAGTAAAAAAATCTTCAGATTCTAAAAGATTATTACAGAATAGTCTATTCTTTCACAGTAATGAAAAAATAACTTAAGAGAGATACTCTTTTATTTAGGCTTACTAGGAGGTTAATCTTTTTTGTACTTTCTAAATTTCTAGGGAACATATAATATCTTTATGTTTAAAATACATTGCCATCAAAAAGTAAATTCTATACCAAACATTTACGTTGATCTCAAATCAATAAAACCATCAAATCAAAAGCAAGCTCAGAAAGCCTTTGAGAAAATAGATTTTCCCATTACAAGTCAACATTTAGAAATCATAAAGACTGTACTACAAAGAAAATTTTAACATACACACAAGTTAACTGGAAAAACTTGTTATATATATGCAAGGAAATGTCATTTATTTTTTTACATGAGAAAAAAATTTAATTTACCAAAAACCTACCAACAATATCTCCTGTCTTCTGGTAGAGATGGGCAAGAACCGGAGTACATAGTTAACAGAAGTAGTAGAGGGGCACCTGGGTGTCTCAGTTGGTAGAGCATCCAACTTTGGCTTAGGTCATGATTTCATGGTTTGTGAGTTCAAGCCCCACATCGGGCTCTGTGCTGTCATCAGAGAGCCTGCTTCAGATCCTTTATCCCCCCCTCTCTCTCATTCTCAAAAATAAGTAAGCATTAAAAAAATAAAATAAAAAAAATACAAATAATAGAAACTGTAAGGTACTGTATTCACCTTAAACCTATTTTCAATATTCAAAAGAGAATTTGAAATTAAGATAATGAAATAAAAATTTTTAATGCCGTTAAAATATTTCAAAATAATTTTGACATTTTCATATTTATATAAACATGAAATATAATTTGAATTTATTAATAGTGTATGTGTATCAGAGAATTAAAGAAATATAGAAAATATAGTAACTTATTTCTCTTTTTATATTTCGATGTTGTTTAAGTTAGCTACAATAGTATACTTTATAATCAGAAAACTAGGGTCATAAAAGAATATATATAATATTAAACAAAATATTTATTCATTTTGAAAGAGTTATTCAAGAAAATTTCACATATTCTGGCTATTCCTGAGTCTAATTCTAGCCTAGAAATAACTGATACCTATATTTTGCTTTTGACAGACTAATTGTAAAATACCACAATACACACTAGCGGTTTTCACTTTGTGTCTTGTAAAATTGTGGTCTATCTCCTTTTTTCTGTTCTTTTTGATATTTTTTTATTATTGAGACATTAAAACATCACATTTTCATTTATGACATTAATATATATTAAAACTACATTGTATTTAATTACTTTTTGAGTTATTAACTCCTGCCGTATGGTATTTCTCAACTCTGGCTGCTATAATAAAATGCGGCATAATGGATGGCTTAAACGGGAATTTATTTCTCTCAGTTCTGCAGACTTCCAGGAAGTCCAAGTCCAAAGTGCTAGCCAATTTGCCTCCTCCCGTGAGGGACTTCTTCCTGACTTGTAGACAGCTGCCTTCTTGCTGCAACTTTACGTGTTAGGAAGAGAACACACTGTGTCCCCTCTTTCTCCCTTTATCAGGACACTGCTTCCATCATGGGGGCCTCGCCCTACTTTCAAACACCATCATCTTGTGGGCTTTAATATACGAATGTGGGGGGTAGGGGACACAAACATTCAGACATGACACATGTAATCATTTCCCATAAGTCTTTATATAAATGTAGGCTTTTGCATACTGCTAGTTACTTTACTTGCTTTCAGTGATTAGAATTCATTTACACAAATTTATTTATGAATTTGCTAAATATTTGACCTACAACTACAAGGTATCTTAACCTAATTGTGCTTTTTGAAATGATCTCAACTGACGAGAAAAAAAATATGGGAAACTCTTCAAAGACAAATAGTTATCTTTGTAATTTCATTTATTGTCTCATAAATAAAACACAAAGAGTTATCTTTGTAATTTCATTTACTGTGTCATAAATAAAACAGTAAACTATTCAATGGGATGTTGTGTCATCCTGGTGGAAAATCCTATTGTACGAGACATTGAGTTTCTATTAGAAATACAGAAAGTAGGAAACGGTGTGCACATCTATTTACTGAATTTTCTCTTTTGAGGACAGGAATATAACTGGAAGGATAAAAAACACAGGGGCTATGCTTAGATTCATGCCACGTGGCACAGCTTGAATCTCCCGAAAATAACACTTTAATTAAAAATGAATTAATAAATATTGGTTATAATAATACACTGGATTCCAAGGCATTTAAAAGAAATTTTTTAATGTTTATTTATTTTTGAGAGACACAGAGACAGAATGCGAGTGGGTTGGGGCAGAGAGAGAGGGAAGCACAGAATCCGAAGCAGGCTCCGAGCTGTCAGCACAGAGCCTGACGCAGGGTTCGAGCTCACGAGCTGTGAGATCATGACCTGAGTTCAAGTTAGATGCTCAACTGACTGAGCCACCCAGGTGCCCCTGGATTCTGAGGCATTTAAGAGCAGGGATTTACAAATGGAATACTATTCAGCTATAAAATGGAAGGAAATCCTGCCATTTGCTAGAACATGGATGGATCTTGAGGGTATTATGCTAAGTGAAATAAATCAGAAAGATAAATACTGAATACTCTCACTAATATGCAGAATTTAAAAATAAGCAAAAAAAAAAAAACAACAAAGAACTGAAAATGAAAATTAAAAAAAAAGAGCAGGGATTCTTAATCTGGACACTGATGACACAAGGTCAGTAGCTAGCACTGAATATTTCTTTGTATTATTTTCTAAATACCTTCAAACTGGGAGTTCCAGCAAAATTATCAAAACCAATCTTATCATTTAAGAATTAGAGATGCACTTTAATTAAAGGGGAAAAATGGAAGAAGGGTGAGAGTTAACAAGCAATTGATAGTTATTATAAGAACTATTTTGTTGGTGAGCAATTAAATAAAAAATAATTGAACTAGAATTGTTAGTCCACTTTAATTCCCCCATCCACTTAAATAAATATGTATCATAAAGAAATACAAATTCTGGGGCGCCTGGGTGGCGCAGTCGGTTAAGCGTCTGACTTCAGCCAGGTCACGATCTCACAGTCCGTGAGTTCGAGCCCCGCGTCAGGCTCTGGGCTGATGGCTCAGATCCTGGAGCCTGTTTCCGATTCTGTGTCTCCCTCTCTCTCTGCCCCTCCCCCATTCATGCTCTATCTCTCTCTGTCCCAAAAAAATAAATAAACGTTGAAAAAAAATTAAAAAAAAAAAAAAAAAAAGAAATACAAATTCAGAAAATGTGCAAGACATTCCCCACAACTGAAATCTAACTGAACAATATGACTGTAGCAATAGGTGTCTGATACCTGTTCCCTTACATTTACAATAACAACAATGACAGCACCAATAATATTAGGCAACATTGGGTGTTTCTTATGGGCCAGGTACTATTCTGTGCCCTTTATATGTATTAATTCATTGACTCATTCTCAAAATAACCCAGGATTTTTTTTATCGGTTCCATATTTCATTCTGTTCTTATACAAATATGTTTTGCATTGTAATTACTTTTTATTCCATCCCATTTCTGTCAAGGGATAAAATAAGTACATCACAATTCACAAAAAGCAAATGTCTCCAATTACTAAATAATGAGGTAATTATGAAAAATATTTTGCTTTTCTTAACCACTTCAAGATACTAGAATATTGGCTAGTCTCTCCTGACTTTGCATTTATCTGCTTCTCTGGAACAGTCCCTAGTCCTTTAGCAGAATTGAAATGCTATTACAAATTAAAATGTTATATAACATCTAAACCAGGCCTTTATCTGTAAGCTCGGTTTTAGAATTAAAAGAAAAAAAAATAAGCTAGAGCCCTCAAAGTTTTTCCAAAAGAAAAATACCGATCACATCATTATCTTTTTAGGGAACAAACTTCTCTTCATTTTTATAACTACCATATCCTTTTTCCCGCACCATACTTTTTGGTTAATGATTGTGGTTCCATTTGATATCATTAGAAAATTCATAGATCTTTTTCAATAAATAAATTTCAATATATAAAAATATAAAAAGTTACCTACCATGTGTTTTAAGGTAGTCGGCTGCAAAAGTAAATGTCCATGGAGATCAGCACGTGAGGAATAAATGAGAAGCATCAGAAGCGCCCATGCAAATATCGTACTGAGGGAGCGTTGTCCTAGTTTCCGCAGATCCTTGCTCCTTAGAACATTCTGCAGAGGCAGGGTGGAACCCACTCAAAATCTGGTTTGTATGTCATAAAATGATGCTGCAGACACACACAGAAAGGAATAGAAAAGTTTATTACTAGCATAATAAGAGTTTTGGGGGAGAGCAGAGTAAGCCTCCTGAGTGAGTCTGAAATGGTTTGTGAGAGTCTGAAAGGAGACTGGCTTGGGGTTTTTATCATAGTGAGGGTGTGGGGCTGGACACCACATTTCTAGTTGTGGGCACAGGTGTCCCAGTTGTTTCTGGGGTTTGAACCTCACACCAAGTGAGGGAGCACATAGACGTTGAAATGTAGGCCAGGAAGTGAAGAGAGAGTGAAGCCTGAGAATATATAGCACCCAAATATTAAAAACTGAAGTCAGACTAGATTACATTTGCTATGTCAGTATTTTCTCCAAGTACTGTCACATTTGTTATTAACGCAGGAAATCTATCAATCTTTATATATTTGCTTTAATAAAATAGGAAAACTATATAGATGAATCCAACCCATCAGCACCCTTGTTTCAAACTACTACTTGCCAGTTTGTGATCTGTGTACTAATGGTAAGTTGAGAGTTCTTTATGTCAGTAGATATTTTAAAGGAGATATCCTCAAATAAAGGAATTTAGTCTGCAAAAAGGAAGATTCTGACGAAAAAGTAGAGGTTTTAAATGATGGAGAATGACAGGTCAAATTAAATTGGTGATGAGAAAGGAAATAAATGTCATCAACAAAGGGAGAAAGTAGAATGCTAGCATTTAAAATGTCCATGTTAGGGGCGCCTGGGTGGCGCAGTCGGTTAAGCGTCCGACTTCAGCCAGGTCACGATCTCGCGGTCTGTGAGTTCGAGCCCCGCGTCGGGCTCTGGGCTGATGGCTCAGAGCCTGGAGCCTGTTTCAGAGTCTGTGTCTCCCTCTCTCTCTGCCCCTCCCCCATTCATGCTCTGTCTCTCTCTGTCCCAAAAATAAATAAACGTTGAAAAAAAAAATTAAAAATAAAAAAATAAAAAAATAAAATGTCCATGTTAGTAAGAAGCAAAACAGATCAGAAAATATAAATATAAATCATGAAAAACCTTTACAATAAAAACTATTCAGTTTCATGGAGGATTTGGACATCTTAAAGAGATACATTTTCCTGGGGGCTGATGAGAATGTGAAATAGGTAAAACATAAAACAGGAGCAGAAGAAGGGATTTGCCTTCATTATATGCACACATACATATCTATTTTTTTATGTGTGTATATTATTTCTGGAGTACCTTTATTATCTTTGTCTATTTTTAATAATCATATTGATTTGTTTTTATAAGTCTCATATCATATATTAAATGTATCTTTCTTATTATTATTAACAGAATGCTATATTTTCCTGAATTTCATTATTTTCTGTGTTTTTTGCTTAAAATTCTGCTTTAAATCCCTATTATCTACTTGCTTATCGTTGATTTTCTGAATCGCCTTTCCTTACAGGTATCAACTACTCATACTTAATTGTCAGTAAGTGCTAACCTTATTACCTCTATTGTTTGTTTTATTAAACTGTCTGTCAGCCACATTATGCAAACATGTTTGAAACAGATTGTGTGCTGTTCTGTTGTGTTTTCAACAGATGTCTAGTTAATTGGAATTTCTCATAGTTGGACTGATTGTGTGAGCTTTCTAGAAATATAGAAACACCACAGCACATACCTTTTCTGTTGGAAGGAAGCCATATTTGTTTGTTTTGTTTTGGTTTTTTATTTCTACATTGACGGTTCCCAATTGTACACATTCATTTAATATTTTATACATATGTCTCCTTTTACTAAACGTAAAACACTTCATTGGTTGGTGTCTTTAACAACTATGTAGGTGAAAAGTAGTCCCGTCCTGAAGGAGAGTCATGGGAATACCAAAATGCAAAGGAAGGCAACACTCAAATTAACTATATGATAACAAAGCAAAAAGGGACCAAAACTAAAATGTATTGGTTTCTAATAGCCACTGATGTATGGAAAGGGAAAGCAGACAATTGAGCTCATCTCCTATATGGTAAACTTGGGTGTAGATGTAGAAGCCATGTTTATCAAACTTGTAAATGATACAGCTTTCTCACATAGATCCACAAACCAGAAATCAGTATTATTTGCTGACCTATTATAATGGTATAAACAATATTCAAGGAAATTCATTAAATTTATATTTAATATAAATGAAAAAATAGAATTTATAATTTTAGCAGATTATATTATATGTCTATTCCCAGTTCAGACCTCTCATTTGAACTCCAAGTTTGCGATTTTAATTGCCTCCTCATTCCAATGTGGACATCACTCTTCTGTTCAAAATCTTCCAGGAGTTTTCCTTTTTACTCTAATTAAAAGCGTAATGTATTACAGTAGCCCACAAGTTCTGTGCCATTAGGCCTCTATTATCCTGTTGAACTCTTTTCTTACCGCTCTCCATAGCACAAACCATGGCTCTTCATATATATTAAACATATACTTGTGTTTGTGTGTGTTTTGATTACAAAATAATAGCAACTTTCCATTCAACCCTGTATCCATGCTTTTTGCAATGTGACCTTGCAGCTTCTCTGTTTAAAAAGTAAAACCTGTTTATCCATGCCTTGTATCTGGACGGTTCCTGTGGTTTTCTTTAGCTTCATAAAATATGTATGGAGTGATGGTGTGCAATTTGTGGGGCTATGCCATAAGTGCCTTGCCCACTTCTATTATCTCTCATGCATACCTGCCTCCCTTATGGGAAGAAATTAATCTGGGCTGATGGAAAATAAGAGACCATTTGGAGAAGAACCTGTTTGTCCCAGCCAGGGACCTTCTACACCAGACTACAGTCAGCCAAGCCCCAAATGTGTGGAACACAAAAACAAAAACCCCAGACAAATTTACCAGAGTTGCTTACTTGATCCACAGCCAGATGCAGATACATGGGGGAGTCCAGCCAAAATTGGAAAAGCTACCCAGATGATGCATAGACTCATGAGTAATATAAATGCTTATTGTTAAAAGGTTCATGACAAGTTTTTGTTTGGTTTAGTTGGTCTGTTTATTTGACTTGATTGTTTTTATCACTACTATTTTCCAGCATATAAAATAATGTATGACTCATTTTAAGTGCTCAATAAGTTATTACCTATGTTTTGGATTCTTTTTAAAGCTAACTAGAATATTTTTCCAATTGAATATGTGGCTTCTAAATGGTATTTAGTATCCATACTGAAGCATTTTTTATTTTGTTCTGTTTTTTTTTTTTCTGGATATATATTGAGTTTACAGACTTCACTCACTATCAGGAAAAATAATGTTTTGTATAAATTATAGAAACTTTAATAGACATCAGAATGGTCAGAAGTAAAATGTCATAATGTGAATATAGGATACAGAATCCCCATTGCTTGCTGAATTGAGCGTAGACTGATGCAGATATCCTGGAGGTAGGAATGGTGGTAATAAATAAAATTAAATATAGTTGTTATATACCCCAGCATTACTTCTAGATAAATATCCAAAATAAAATCTTACACCAGTCCCTAAAAGAAAATTTATTAGAATATTCACTATTGTTCTGTTTGTGGGTTAGGTGGTTGTATAGGCAATGGAGAGACTCATCAGTACTGGAATAAATGAGTAGCCTTTGGTAGAGATGCACTCTTGAATAACATGGCATTTAGAAGCAACACACAAGATGAGCAGTCATAAATAAGAGTAGAGCTTAAAATCATGGTTCCTAAAAAAAAAAAAAAATAGAAAGAGAATAGAGTCTATGTAACATTATCATTTTATTTTTATATTAAAATTTAAAACCATAAAATAAGATTATACCTTCTGTAAGAACACACACAAGTGAAAGGATTCTCATCAAATACATCAGAATGGTTTATTGTGCTGCAAGTAGGGAAGGGAAGGAGTGAATGGAAATAAAATGGAATGAATGAATAGATCAATAAAATAAGTGAGGGGTTGTGCAGACCAACCAGTGCTGGTATTAGGCCATATATAGACTATGACTAATTCTCTATATCTGTAGTTTAAAAATATATGAAATAATAATAATAATAACAATAAGTCTAAATGGGAAGATAAACTCAGTCAATTTTACACATTATAGATCTATTTTTTGAGAAGAAATAACACAAAGAATAATTGATATCTGTTTCTACAATATTTGTTGAGATCTGAAGGGGAAGAAGTTTAAGACTCCACATTTTGTAAGAGCAATTCATTCTGTTATTTTTTGGCTTTGTAACTTTAAATTTCTGTATATTATTAACCTTTGTAATTTATCTCAAGTGTGTAAGTGATTTTGAACAATTAATTGATTAAAGATTTAATGGGAAATCTTTATTACTAATTCAGGGACTTAGGACTCAAGCACCTTCAAGTATTTTAGAATCTCTTGACTACCAATATTTGATATTTAATTTCAGACAATTGCTCTTTGTCTGCTAAATATAATATACAATATTTTTTCCTGGATTGATTTGTTTTCTTCTGATTACACTTATTGGATTTAATCTAAATTAGGTGATATTTTCTATTTAAAAATACTATAATTTAAAATGTTCAATTAATTCCATTTGCACTTTCTGTCTTCATCATGCTATTGATGTTTTTTTTTTTTTCCATGCTTATCACCATATTTTCAATATCCAGGTCATTTTGTCTGATCATTTTGTTAGTCTACTCAAGTGCTGTCAAAATAGTTGTTTCTCTACTGTATTTTGAAATAGTTTTTGCTTTCACTCTGAGGTCATTGGATGTTCTTTTGAATTCTTTCTATTCTTTTTCCTTAATAGATCCCCCTACTCTCAACTACCTTTAGGTATAGAAGGGTTTAAGATTCAGTCCTGGGTCTTTACTCATTATTTTCAACACCTCCATGTAGATTTTGGATAGAAATTTCTTTTTTTTTAATGTTTATTTATTTTGAGAGATAGAAATATATACACAGAGAGCAGAGGAGGGGCAGAGAAGGAGGCAGACAGAGGGAATATCACAAGCAGACTTCACACTGTCAGCACAGAGCCTGATGTGAGCCTCAAACGCATAAACCATGAGATCATGACCTTAGCAGAAACCAAG